TGTCGGGGCGGAGGGCGGGGTAAGGGGAGGGGAAGGGGCTGGATTTGATGCAGAGCCAGCCCGTTTTCCACCAATCGTAGAAGAGAGGAAGCGACAACAAATGGTGGAAAGCAAACAGGCTTGGCGCCAAACCCATCTCCCCCTCCCCTCCCACCGACACTCCCCAACATCCGCAGCGAATAAGACTGTAAATGCGCCTTTTGTCGCAGAAAGTAGTCGTATGGCGCCGTAGAAAAGGCTGATCAACCATCAATACTTCCTCCGCACCGTGTATATGAATGAATTCAAGTCGTTTTTTGATAACCATCTGATAGCGACAGATCAAATTGCAGGACTGGATGGTGTGTTTCATTTTATGATTGCATACGTGAGCTTCTCTACTAACCCTTACTACTGGTTAGTTGCACTTCCTACTGTTATCCTTAGTGTTGTTCGCATGTTGTCTGAAGGCTAACTGATGGTTTTCAGGTAACTCAATATGTCAGCTGCAAGTGAGTCTTTCTAAAAGTTCTAGATTACCTCACGGAAAATCCTTCTATGTTACAGAAACCGATACAAAAGCAACAGGTTCTAAAGTAAGTCTCTTTGTTGGTAGTACATTTCAAAGGTAAAATTGGAGCAGCGATCAATAAAATCGATAAATCGATCAAAATGTGTTGTTATGAAGCGAGCAGAATATTTTTCCGACATTTGTCTAAACAGCTGGAGAGCGAAGACATCCTTCTGTCGTGGAAGCTTGGCCTGGGATTTGTCGGCGCTGATGTACCGCCGGTACCGTCCCAGTACGGCACTTGTTGAGAGGTGAATGGTGGTCGTTGTCCAGGTTTCCGCACTAGATGCCTCGGGAGGGACCAATCTTCAGCAAAGCTAAGCCACGTGGGTCTTTTTCCCGTGAAATCACCCAGCTCTCTATTGGATATGCTTTCATCATGCTTGTTAAGAGTCATGAAGTGGTTTTGTCACGTCAGAAAATTCCTGATAGGTCCATGAAAGAGATGGCCCCCTCCAGGACACTGCGCTGTAAATACACTCCGCGACTTCCCTTGAGATGAATCAAGGACGTTGCTAAGACGAGGAGTAGACGCTCCCTAAGTAGTGATGGCCTGAAAAATGGGGATGATATACGCGCGTCTGGCATAAACAGTCATTTTTCTTTTAGGCCGCCGAGAAGCGGTGCTATGAGAATCAAAAATTCTGATCTGTGAAAGAGAGTCGCAATTTTCACGCGTTGGTGGGACGTACGCGTGCGAACGTCGCGCCCAAAGAGAAGGTTCCAGAAGCAAGTGCGAAACAGACAATCATGAACGAAAATAGTCATGACTATGTTACGATGACGCGGGATTAATGAAAGTCGGTTCAATCGACGTTGACAACAGTTAAGAAACGCCGCACTATGCGCGCGCGCGAGAGGGCGAATTACGATAGCGACGTCGCTGCCGTCTCACATAAATTCAAATGGTGCTCATGATCATTTTCGCTCTGTATTATGTTCTTATGCTCATTATTTTGGTTCATGAACGTTTTTTTGGTTAAGTTGTTCGGTGGTGTAACAGCACACCCTGGCGACCTGACGCGACAAAATGTCGCTAACGGTGCGTTGTCCGCTTTTTTTCGCGCTTCTTCTTGGTGGAGGAAGGATGGAGACAGACTACGTGACTGCAGCTCACAGGCAGCGGAGGCCTATGTGTGGTAGTTGTGACTTTCTCGAGAAGTGGTGAAGCAACGTGTCGTACCCTCAAAAAGCACCCTCAATTAGTTCCCAACATCGGACGTGCGGGCGGTGAATAGAGAGGCCGACACGACTAGACAAGCGTGCTCAAGCGCCTCAGCTTCACACTTGATAGGTTGCGAGTTGGCCGCAAGGTTCTCGCTCATAGGCACCTGTTGTTGATATGGGTGGGGTTTCTGGCCTTCTCGAGTCTCTGGCACTCTTGCTAAGCATGGAGCCACGTTCCTGCGCTTCTCACCCTCAGACAGAACCCATCCTTTTAGGTAGTTGTGAGCTGCGTCGTCAAGCTGGTACAACAGTAAAGGTCCAGTCGCTTAGCCAGCTTAATTCTCTCACCCACAGAATATCTTTTCGCATCCCTACAAACTCGACTGGCATGTCGGTACCGAAACTCCGCAATTGGAGTGAAAGGAGTGAAGAGCTCCTACGAAGGATGTTCGTGAGCATAGCGTTCTACAACACCATGTCAGCAGTTCGCAGAACAACGCCCACTCTTTCATGGCTGGACTACCTTCCTACTTCCTGCGCACTTTTGAACACTGCGAAATTATAAGAAGTTCTGCGACTCTTGCCACACTCTCCACCGAAAACTCTTGTTCCACCACAGGATTGGTTCACTGGACCTCTTTCAACTCTGAGCTCATAGTGACGCAAGTTTCCATCGCTGCAGCACCGAATGCCACTCCCTCAATATTTTAGAAGTAGAATAAATGGCGTGAAAAGTGATGTCGTCAGAGATTTCCTTGACAATGAGAAGCTACCACTACCAATAGGGCTGGTTGGCGCGACTCCGGCTGTTTTCACCAGTTTCAACAATGTTGTCGCGTGTCCGCTTAAACCATTGAAGGAAACCGGGTTGACGACGACCTCAGCCCACCCTCCCCCTCCCCCACTCCCGTCTGACACGTCCCAGCGTCTGCAGCGAAGTGCACCACACGAATGTGCAGCACCTAAAGTGTTGAGCTGCAGAAGTACATTAGGACTAGCGTCTAACCTGACAGTCTTTCCAATTTGCCCGCTTTCTTGACAAATCTGTGGCTCTAGGGCATCCCTCGTTGTCTTATCCTTGGCTTTCAGGATGCTACGGCAGCACCACCAAATAACGATCAAAATTTCAATGTGTGTCTTATGCCAACGAAAGAGGCGATTGAAGCAACGCCTGGCACTCCCCTCACAAAAGGTCAGAGAGCGATTGTTCGATTGAAGCAACGCCTGGCACTCCCCTCACAAAAGGTCAGAGAGCGATTGTTCTTTGAGTTCCGATTGCATTGGCTCCTGTTACAGAAGAGTTGGCTCGACTACAAGCTGAGGGTCAACTACCAAAAGGAATAGAAGCTAATCAATCAGCTACAATGCATAACATGAAAATCGGAGACCAAGATTTTGTTGTTGTAAGTTGTTTTTCAAAGGCATAAGGCGCGATAACATGGTACTTGCTCAAAAACAGTAGAAATGGTGCTATACCAAGGGAAAATGACGAGAAAGCGATGTTAAACGGCCAAAAACCTGCAAAAAAAGACTTCGTCTGCACGGCACTGGACGACTATTTTTGAATGAATTTTCCGTTGGCAGCTTGCTAACGACCGCTTTTGTGGACGGGCGGTTACAGTGGGCGTTTGGGTCAGCATGCTTCACCTTGGTTAAGCGCTATAACGGTGCACTTGGTTGAAAAACACTACACTCTTTCGTGCTAGGCTATCTATGCTGCACGCTTTGTCTAATTATCGTGCTGCTTGCCTTCAACTTAAGGTGCAGGGCAGAACATACAAGTTGCAGCGACACGGCGGCAGCGCCACCGAAGCTTTCTCAATGGGATCTAAGGCTGCCTCCATACTTTGCGACAGCGTCCACAAGCGTCTCGAAGGCTAAGGAAGAATAGGGATCGATCCAGCGTCTGCCAGCTTCTGCCAGCATGCACCAGCGTCCTCGAGCGTTGGGACAGGAAAGTATGGCGCAATAGGAGAGTAGCAGACAGCGCCATACTCTACAAGCAGTCTGCTACCCTCCTATCGGGCCATACTCTTCCCCTCTCGGACGCTGGTAGACGCTTGTCACGCTGGCAGACCCTGGCAAACGCTAGATCGATATCTATACTTTCCTAGTCGCTGACACTGCCGGACGCTCGGAACGCTGGTGGACGCTATTGGTCGCTGGTGGACGCTGCCGCAAAGTATGAACGCAG